AATACAGAACAATTTTTCACTCTTTAAAACACTGAAGGGGAACGCAGGATCCCTCCCTGTTCTGATGTTTCATTCGCTGTCACTTGCTCCATCCCTGTGCAATAGTTGTAAGGTCTGTCTGAAAATAATTGCAAATAAAAATAACAGGATAATTTGTTATGTGTTATCTGTCATATCGTCCACCCTTCTCATATTATCTTTTACCCTGCGTTAGTATTTCATTGATGTTTTAACAAATTACTACACTACTGGTGAATTAAAACAATGGAAATTTATTATATGACAGCGCTACAGTTTAGGGGGCCAACACAGGTCTCATAGGCTAAAAGCAAAGTGTTGGCAGGGCTGTGTTCCTTTCTAGAAGTTCTAAAGGTAAGTCCACCTCTTGCATTTTCCAGCTTGCAGAGACATTCCTTGGCATGTAACCCTCTTCCTACAAGATCGCAGCTGACAAGGTTACATCTCTCTGCCATTCGCTCTCTGCTTTCCTCCTCTACATGGGGGGGCCCTGGCAATTACAGTGGGCACACCCTGATAATCCAGGGCCATCTCCCCCTTTTACAATCAAGTAATTAGTAATCTCCATTCTATGTGCAATCCTCAATTCCTGCTTTTGTCATGCAAGGTAACATAACGGGCTCACAGGTTCTGGGAATTAGGATGTGGACATCCTCAGGGCACCGTTATCCTGCCTATCACACACTTTGTGACCATCCCCCAATTGGGCAACTTCATATCTGAGAAACACATCATCCCAGGGGAAGGGCCCCATAGCAGAACCAGAAAACCTAGCGAACGAAGTCAGATTTTTTAATTTTGCATTTCAGAAGTTGAGGTCTAGATAGAAGGCAAAATAATATCAATAATAACACCATAATAATAAAAAAACAAAGGAAGACTCTGTGATCTATTAGAGAATTAGCTTCCCTCCCACCCACAAAGAAGTAAAGATCATTTGAGTGGGGGGAAGAGAGGAATGTTGGAAGTCAGACTAGATATCCTCATAAATGCTAATGGATCTCCTTCAAACGGACCCCATGCTCTATCCCCACCAGGCTAATCATATGGGTGGTTGAGGGGCTGAGGAGCTATAGAAAGTCAGGTGGGTTCGAGGGCTGTGCAGGCAAAGGAGGTCTGAGCTTCACTTGTTCAGTAGCTCAGGTTGGCAGCAAGCACAGTGAGTGTTCTTCCCTGGCATGAAAAGAACTGACTACAGATGCCTTTCTGGCATATTTAGATCAATAGGGCTTCACACAGCCTCCCTCTGATCCTCAGTGTGGTGCAGAGGGGCTGTTGGACATTTTCCGTGCCCTCGGAGGGTGGAAAAGACATCTATCTGATGGCTGGAGCCAGCCAGCCCTAATTGACCTTGTGGTGGAATGAAGCCTTCAAGGTAGCAAGTGCCTGCATAGACCACACACCTGTCAATCAGGTGGGAACAGAGAAGTCCTTACATATTCCAGAAAGGAAGGAGAGTGATATGTGGACAAGGACCAGATGAGAGAGCAGGTACCAGACTGAGAAGTGATGGCCCAGCTCTAAACACCCCCTTATCCCCTAGGCTTTAGGGGCACCTGGGCCCCTTGAGCATAAATGTGCAGTTAATAGGTGGGAGGTAGGAAGCCAAAATTGACTAGAATTGTTTCCACTAACAATGGAACAGAAAGGAAATGAAATTCAGTTATAAAAACATTATCGAAAATTAGATATGCTGTGCTCCTAAATTTGCGTGGCTCCAAATATCATATCCACTTACATATAAGTATCAGAAATGTGGTCTCATCATCACACACATAAATGCCAACTTTGTACATCCCAAGTCATTGCCGGCTGTATTCTTTGTTTTTTCAGACAATCTATGAGCTCAAGAACTATTGCTTCCTTTCGAAAGATTAAGAAACTGAGGGGAATGAAACCAACATAGGTACCAAAGCTATAGCCATTGTCATGACCAGATCTAGGCTTCAAAGCCCAATCCACTCAGACCAGCCTTCTTTCCACGGCTCTGCCCTGCAATCTCTCTCTTCTCCGCTGCCACTTTGGGAAAGCAACCCAAAGTGGCCCTGGCACTAAGAATGCCATTGAAGACAAGGTCTCTTGGTCCTCCATCCTGCCACCTGGTGGCAAGACCTTGAAACGTCACCCGACTTCCTGAGCCTCGTTTCCATATCCGTGAGGGAATCTACTGTCCAGGTTGGTTGTGAGGATGATTTATTAGACATAGGCATGATTTGAGAACTGTATAGTTCTCTGAAGTTCTAAAAATATAAGACATTATTGTTTTTCTACCAGATGGAATTTCTTAGGAGGGGAGCTATGAGAAAAAGTTTCTCTTTGCAGGCATGATGGAGAGCCTACAGAGAAATGAAAGAGACTTTAAATCTCAGTGCAAGAGTGGGTATTGCCATCTTATTCTGAAAGCACAAAGAAGGACTCTCCTTGCATCCATTGAACCTGGAGTTGCTGTTCTAATGTTACACATCCTTAATCTAGAGAGGAATGTCTTTGACAACCTCATCAGACTGTTGAATTTTCTCTTAACCTCCAGGGAATGAATGTTCTTTCTCTCTCTCTCTCTTTTTATTTTTTTATTTTTCTAGTTTATATTAATGAGAGGTAAAGAGAGACAACTCCTGTCTAGATACACACACACATGCACACAAATACACACAAACACACACCTCTGCATTCTGAGGTTTCATTCTTATGAGACGTTTGTCCTAAGGGGAAAAAGGGCTTAATGAATCTGGGAAAGAGAACTGATGGAAAACAGTAAAGAGGCAGACAACCTAATCTTTCCAGAAGAGTCAGCCTCATGTTTTAGAGACAACAAGGATTTGGGACATCCTTTTGAGTTGTTTGTCCACTGACTGGCTCTAAGACTCAGACAAGTCCTCCTCTCCCTCCCTGGGTGTCACCTTTCCAATACGCAAAAAGCAGGGTTCCGCTACAGTACTCTGAGGCAGACAGCTGCTCGTGTGTACTGATCTAGCATCCACAGGTCTTTTCTGTGGGCATCACCCCACTTTTCCTGATGCCTTCCCCCACCTCAGGGCCACGCGTTTCAGGTACAGCTGACTCCTGGCCCAAGCTCCAGGTATGGCTGATTCTCGAATAAGCCCAGTTCATCACCCTGACTAGAAATCAGTGCAGGAATGGGCATGAGAACCAAGCTGGCCCAATGAGATGGAATGCTGTCACTGAAGTTGGAGGGACACGGCAAGAGATGTTCTTGTTCTGCAGGACTTGCTGAGCAGAGAGGGTGCAGCTGGCCCAAGAACGGCATGGTGCTAAGGAAAGCAGAGCTCAAACAGAGAGGGGATCTCCATGACATTGTCTGAGCCTCACAACCCCATTTCCCCCAGGCTTCCATTTGAACCAATATCTTTCCTCTTTTTGCCTAAACTAGTTTGAGTTTAGTTTCTATTACTGGCAATCCTAAGAACTCTAATTAAGAAAATAATCAATTGCCCATCCACCTCCAAAGATCTCTTGATCTTTGAGTCTCAAATATGACTTTGTTGCATCATCTCATATTCTAGAGGCTCCTTCTTTGTATTGGTCTCCCGGCCTTTGCTTATGTTCTAACTGGTGTGTAGGCACATGGAGGGTCGACCACATATTCTATTTCCCTTGGGTCTTGTTCAAACAGCCTCGTCCGGAGCAGGGACTCCCATCCCCAGCCCCATCCTTCCCTCTTGCTCTTCTTTCTTTCTTCTTTATTTACTGAGATGAGTCCTGTTGGAATGTTGAGCTGAATCCACAGGTTCTCTGGGTTCTCCCTCCGTTCATTGGGAAAGATAAACTCAAAAGCCAATCTGTGCTATAAAGTGTCACACACGTGGGTGCAGAAAGTAGCAGTGATCCCTAGGAGAGCACCACCACTTCTCTGGGGGAAGAGAGCCACTTGGGGAGGAGGGAAAAGGCTTCATAAAGGAGACGAATCTGGAAAGATGTTTCACTTGTTTGCTGCCTGGGCTCGGAGAACAATTCACTCTAGGCAGAAAGAAGGATATGAGCAAAGGCCTTGGGGCATTAAAGGCAAGGATGTCCTGAGAGCCAATCAGCTCCATAGGCTCTAGTGTAGAAGGAAGTCAAGTGGCTGGAGAGATTAGAAAGGGCCCAAAGGAGGAAGGACATTGAATGCTAGGCTGAGTTTAGCCTATGGACAATGTTTCCCAAGTGTACTTCTAAGAGATCCAACAGATACACACACACATAGACACACACACACACACACACACACACACACACACACACACACACACACACACACACACACATTCAGTTGTTAAAAATTCAGGTTCCTGAGACCTAATCCTGTCTATAGAATCAAAATTTCTAGAGGTGGAGCCCTGGAACATGCATTTTGAACAAGCATCCTAGGTCATTTCTACAAAGCAAACCATTAATTTTGGGACCCCCCCCCTTCCATAGGCAACAGGGGTCTCACATGCATCCTTAACTCCATGCAAACAAGGCTGCTTCTCCCTGACCCCGCACCTTTGCTGCCTTTGCTCTTCCTCATGTAAGTTGACCCATCTTTCGAAGTCATTTCCAATAGCAATTTCCCAAGGAAGCCTTCTGCAAGGCTTAAGTCTCAACTAAAACTCCCTCTTCCAGACCACACCAAAGCACTTATTCTTTGGTACTATTTACATGTCATTGGCATGCCCCACCAACAACGTACTCATAGAGATACGGCAGACCCTATCTTACTCCCAAATGGACTGAAAGATTCTGGAGGCCAGGAGTTCTCAAGGACCTATTGTATCATAGGCACTTAAGTTTTAATATCTTCCACCAATTCCAAAAGATAGGTTTAATTATCCCACTTCACAGATGAGGAAACAGAGGTAGGCTGGCATGCTGAAGGTCATCGAGGCAGGGTCTATGGGCAGTGTGATCCTCTTTGACCAGCTTCCCTTATGGGGATGGGCCTCCAGCAGGTGGCCTTAGCATCTGGGCTGGTGTCTTGCTCCTGGGTCAATGGCACTTACCACACATCCTGAGGAGTCCACCTGACGGTCAGAGACACACTTGAAGTTGCGTGTGCAGCCCCCATTGTTCCGAGAGCAGTCACGAACTGGCCCAAAAGAGGACAGCAGGTCATTGATGGTTTCAAAGTATGTGGACAGCATCGCTTCTTCCCTTAGAGAGAAAGGGGATGGTTAAACCCCAGAGACATCGGCATCATTAGATGAAAAAAAATAATGATGTGAATTCATTATATTTGAAATCCTCATTTATTTCATTTGTAATCCAGAATATAACACAATTTTTTTTTCAAAAAAGAAACAACAACTGATGTTTAAGTCTAATTGTGATAAAGAGAAATCGATTTACAACTGTGTATTCTTCATTTCATTAATCCTAATTATTTTGGAAGGTAGGTATGAGACATCCATTTTACCAATAAGTAAACGTGGTTTAGAAAGGAGAAGTATCTTGCTGAGGGCCATTCATCTTATAATGTGACCGAAGTTTGTACCTAGTTCCATCTCAGTCCAAAGAGAAAGCTCTTTGCCAGTACATAAGTCTGAAGTTGCATCAGATTGTTTCTATAGATTCTAGAGCTCCCTGTGGCAACTCCACAAGTGGGCACATTCCTATTGTTCCAACTTTATGGATACAAAAATGGAAGCTATGAAAAAGTGGGGGACTTACCCCAAATCCCACAGCCTACAAACAGCAGAGCCAAGACACAAATATAGGAATCTGATTCTAGGACCCTAGAACATTATTTTTCAGACTACTGCATACAAGTCACATCATTAAGACTGCCAGCAACAGCTGTTGGACAGGTCATGGGATTCCAGGGAAATGCATGATTTTTCCCAAATGAGGTCCTTAGAGAATAAGATAACTAGATACCATAATCCATGGATCTCCCAAAATTCCATAAGATAGAATTCTATAAGGTGGGGGATACAGGTGAAAGTTTCTGGATGCCATTTTTTGCAGATGGGGCCTCACACAAGGAATATCCTCACGCTGGGGTATGTATGATTCGCATAGTTGCAGGAGATATTAAAGGGTACCATGGGCAATGAGAAGAGGCACTGTACTTTTCCCTGATATATGCCCCATGGGGTCCAGAGCTGTAAAACAAGCGAGATGCACATGTAGCAGGAAGAGGCCAAGTCTCTGGACTGTTCTTCATATCATATCCCATTTGTCCCCTCCTCGGGCTTGCAGCTCCAGGTTTGGGTCTCCTAACTCATTTCCTTCCTCCAATTTTATCCCCTTCTGTCCCATCTTTCATACTGACTGCCAGGAACTTGGTAAATCCCAGCTCTAATTAGATACTCCTCTGATCAATAGCTTCCCAGTACTTAGAGAAGTAATATAAATTAGTTTCCTTGGCACGTAAGACTCTTCATAATCTGGTCCCTGGCTGCCTGTCCAGCTACATTTGCCCTGTCCTCATGTCTCTATCTGCCAGCCACTGGCCTCTTCTCATTCTCTGAACACACAATCCCTAAAAACAGACTCTGAAATGGAAAGTTACCTACAGGAGGTTTGTTGAGGAGCCTTCCTGGGAGATAACACCTGTAGAAAGTGAGCAATGCAGGATTTGGCAAACAGAGAGGCTGACCTACAATGTTGATCTGAAGACTTAGTTGATCCTGCGGGGAGCTCAGGAGCTGGGACGGCCCTTTGTACAGGCGAGGGTCCAGGCCTGGGCATCCCCACATCAGCCAGCCATTGGCAAGGGCTGCTGTCAGGAAGGGGCACTCTTGGATGGGCTGTTCCCTGGGGCTGAAGGGAATGCCTAGTCATTTACAGTCACAGCCAGGGGATCTGGGTTCAGTACGTACTTTCACCCCTCTGAATCCCTAACCATGCTCTTCCTTCTATCTGGATGCTCATCTTCAAATTCTCTACCTGATGAAATCTTAAGAATCCTTGAAGACTATTCATATTCACCCATTCATTCATTCATTCATTCATTCATAGGTTACACAAGCTCACTGGGTGCTTACTATGTACTAGGCACTATTCTAAGACTGGGGACACAGCAGTGACATCGCACAAGGTCCTCACCTCAACAGAGCTTATTTTCACCTCCTTCATGAAACCTTCTTTACTTCCTCCCACTGGAATGAAGTCCTTTTCCCTTTGAGCATATTGTTTAATCTACTATCTTATGGATCTTAATTATCAGTTCCATGGTCTCCCAGGGCAACTGTAAGCTTTTCAAGATTTATTCATTCCTCTTTAGCCCCCAGCACAGACCCTGGAAAGAACACATGCTTGGTAAATGTTTTCAAACAGAACAAAGAAAACACCAGAAGGAATGGTTGCTGTCTCCACCAGACAGTGGTTTCACCAAGAGCTGCCTCAGCAGGGCGCTCCCTTCCTGGTCCCCAACTCTGGGTTCTTACTCCAAATCCCTTATGCTCGGGGCTGCAGGATAAAGACAAATGAGGAGAACAAGGAGCCGCCAGTATTATCCCTGGCTCCCTAACATCGTCTAGAGTGAGGTGACAGGTATATGGGGGGAGAGGATTAACAGCTCCTGAGATGAAGCTCCAGGGAGACCTGCCACTTTTGAATCATGGATGGTTGAGGATCCTGGGAAGACATTTAATTCTATTAAAATATTAATACCCTTAGAGGGAGACAAAAAATGGAAAGCAAGAGGAGGAGAAAAAGATAGAGAGAGTGAGGAAAGAGCTAAACAGTTAGAGAATCTGCTGGAAAGAAGGAAGAGAAACACAGAGGTAGAAACATATACACTCATCCAGAGACAGATGAATAGATACATGGAGATACAAAGATGGATGAATGGACAGACAGACACAGAGACATAGACAGACACACAGGAGTGTTACACAAAGATCAAAAAAGAGGCCAGTGGAGGCAGAGAAAGTGTGTGAGAAGAGAGATAAAAAGGAAGACAGTAGGGAAAGAAAGAGAGGAGAAAAACAGGAGGCAGAAACACAAAGATTAAAAGAAGAGACAGCAGCAAGGTAAACAGAACAGGTGTGTGTGCACTCGTGCAGAGGGGAGGGAGAGGAGGAGGGGAAGAGATGCAGAAAGAGAAGAAGAACAAAGGGAAAGACAAGGAGTGGAAAAGAAAACACATACACAGAGATGTGGCAAACAGAAAACAACAGAGAAACAAAGAAAGAGAAGAGAAGAACAAGCAAAAGAAATGTCACCTTCCTGTGGGAGCCAGACACAGCCTATACAAATAAGGGGGGCTGTTCGCTTCTAAAAGGATTGATTCTGCATAAACATCAGTTACAACAGAGTAACATTACTTAAAACACAAAGACCTGACACAAGGGCTCCTACGAAGTCAAAAGGAGTGATCATGTCAGGCTAGGAAATGAAGAATCTGAGCACAGGAGAGAAAAGGAGCTTAAGGCAGATGCTGGCATTTTCTTAACTCAGAGACTCAATCCCTCATCCCAGCTGCGGAGTGCAGGGTTTGGAGTCTGATGGATCTTAGAGCTGCCAGAACAGTGAGGAGCAAAGGTATCAGTGCAACAGGAATAGAGGCAGAGAGGGGCTACACGGGGGCATCGGGAGACCTGGGCGAGAGTCCCAGGTTTGCCAGAAATCACCATCATCACCAACAACATCTTCATCATCTATGATTTCCTGAGCACCTGCTCTGTGCCAAGAACTGTGCGAGGTTCCTGTGCTATTTCCTTTGATTTGCACACTGGCTCTATGAGCTGCACATTTTTGCCCCCATTGCAGCTAGAGAAGCTGGGTCTTGGGGCAGTTATGTCACTTGCCCTGGTTCACCGAGGCAGGAAGCAGTGAGACCAGGATCCACACACATATCTGCCTGACTCCAGGTCCTGCGTCTAACCCTGTGCCATGACTATGCTTCAACACCTTGCTCTGTGTCTTGGGCCAGTCAGTGCTCTCACAACAATAAAGCCACTAGCAATCCGGGTCCAGTCCCTCTCTGTCTTAGAGGACGGAGAACAGGAGGGGCAGAGCCTGTTTGTCCCCTGTGTATTTCCCAGTGCCTGATGCCTGGCCCGTGCACGTGGCCCACAAGAGCCTCCATCCATAGTGGAAGAAAAGGGGAGACACGGTGTTAACTAGAGGTGCCGTAACAAATGTCATGAACTTAATTTAAAACAACAGAAATGCAGTCTATCACAGTTCTGGAAGGCTGGTAGTCTAAAGTCTAAAGCTCTGAAGGCTGGTTTGCCAGGGCACGGTCCCTCTGCCGGCTCTAGGGGACAGTCCTCCCTTATCTCTTCATACCTTCGGTGGCTCTCTGCAACCCTTAGCTTTCCTTGGCTTTGGGCTTCAGCACTTCTATTTCTGCCTCTATCATTGCATGGCCTTCTGTTGTGCCCTCTTCCCTTCTTAAAAGGACACCATCCATTGGATTTAGGGCCCACCTTAATCCATTCTAGTCTTATCTTAATTATATCTGCAAAGACCCTATTTCTAAATAAGGTCACATTCTAAAGTTCCAGGTGGACATGAATTTTGTGGGATGCCATTCACACCCTGACACATGGTTCATGGGGATGGCTCTAGCTCCTATGGTAGCATAGAACTGAGACTAGAACATACCAATCCTTGACTCTCACTCCAGTGCTCCTATGACTATACTGTCCTCTCCAACGCCAGACTTTTTATACTACACTGAGGTATTTACAAGGCCTGGGAAATCTTAAGAAGAAGATCATGATGATGCCACTTTTCCTGTGATCTGTGCCTTTATTTGAGAGGAGACAAGACCAATATTAATTAAGTACTCACTACACCCAGGAACTATGCAGAGGGCTTTTCACACACATTCTCTCAACCACCCTACAGAGCACAGGTCTGCAAACTTTTCAGAATGGGGATGGATAGTAACGATCTTAGGCTTTGCGGGCCACACAGCCTCCGCCCCAGCTACTCAATTCTGCTTCTGAAACACTCCAGCAGCCACTGACAACATGCAAAAGAATGAACACAGTTATGTTTCAATACAACTGTATTTACAAAAAGACACAGCAGTATGGACTGCTGTTTCCCATTTTAGATATGAAAACTCCAAAGTTGGTTTTGGAGTTAGGATTTGAGCCCAGGTAGGTTCAACTCCAGAACCCATGCTTTTTCTCCTACATGAAGTTCTTCTAAAACTTAGTCTTCTTATCTGCAAAATGGGGCCAATATCTGTC